TACAGGTAATTTCTTAATTTCTTTATGCTGGTAAAAGTAATATTAATTCTAGCTGTATTACATAACTCATATTCAATACATCTATATAAAATAGAAATTGCCTTATAAAAAAAAATTTATAATTTTTAAATTTATCATATTATGATGTATCTAATAATGCAATATATATTAATTTTTAAATTTTTTAAAATTTTAAAAATAATTTATTATTTAATAATTATAAAAATTTAAAATTTAATTTATTGGATTCATCACATTAAGATCTATTAAATAATAGTATTTTTATATAAATTTAAAATTTTGATTATTTTAATTTATTATTTATTTATCTTAAAAAATCACTAGTTAATTATATTTATTTTTAATTTTACTTAGAAAACATTATAAAATTTATTATAAATGTATTAATTTTAATAATAAATTTTAAACCATTTAAAAATAATTAAAAATGATTATAATTAATAAATAAAATTGCCTATAAATTTGTAGGTAAAATAGTTAAAGGAATAATTTTTTAAAATTTTCTTTAAAATTTATATATTTATAAACTAATTTAATTACTTTACTACTAATAAAGTCATAAAATTTCTTAATAAATCATAAAAATCATAATAATTAAAATTATTTTTCATGATATATAAATTTTATAATATTCTATTATAATTAATATTGATAAAAGTAAATATTAATAAGATTGTTAAAGGTCATTGATAAAATTTTAATATAAAAAAATTTTAAAAATTACAAATTTTTAGCTTATAAATAACCTTATAAAATTAATTTAAAAAAAAAAAAATTTAGAAATTTTAATTTTTTATAAAAGTAAATAAGAAGGAAATTTATAATAAATAAGCAGACAAATTTGCCTGTAAAACTTTACAGTTTAAGTGATAATAATTATGAAAGATAAAATAAAAATAATTCAATTTTGTAATGATTTTATATTTATAAAAATATAATTAAAATATATATTTTTATAAATATTAAAATAATATTAATTGTATTATATTAATTATTATTTTTAATTAATATTATAATAATAATTTTTATTTTAAATAAAATGTTTTATAAGTTAAGTAAGTTTGATATTTTTTTATTAAAATTAACAATAAACCATTTTTATTAATTATTGTTTATTAATTAAATTTCAATAAATAAGATTTTATAAATTACAAAATTTTTTGGTAATATTGGATTTTTATTTGTTTAAAATTATTTATTTAATGCTTATGAGCCAAATGTAAAGAAACATGTTCATTATTAATACAAAGTCCAGTTTTGATTTTCTGTAAATGAATTCTTAAATCTACGCCCATTATAGTAATCTTTATTAGAATGTCTTCTTCGTCAGAATTATTTAATGACCTTTGAATTTGTGTAAGGGTGTATCGTCCAAACGCATGATTAACAATATAAAGTTTACTATTTTCTCCTTCATTGGAATCATGCATTAACCGTACAAATCCCTTCAATCGATAAATATCATTATTTGAAAGGGATTCAAGAAAGGTTTCAAAATGTTTTTTTGTAAATGGAGAAACTAATGAAGATGATTGACGGGTCACTATAATTTGAATTAAATCAATTTCATTTTGATGATGATTGTTGATACTTGGATCGATAAGTTCAGAAAATTTAATTGCCAAATCAAATAATTTTGTATCAATTCCGAAAATAAGATCCGGAGAAACCCCATTTTTACCTTCGCATTTAATTTTAGGCGTGTCTGTATTAAGGTCATTAATATGATCGATAACAATATCAAGTTCACGTTCATTCACCTATATAAAAATCACATTCGTTAATGGATATTATTTCATGTGAATTTAAATAAAATATAATCAAATTTAAATACCAATTCGTGTTTATTAAGTAAAATCACATCAGTATATTGAGCTTGCATCTTGGCCGTATAACTTGTATCCTCATATCCTCGAAAATTTACACAATCCACCACAGTGATAATACTATCCAATATGAATCCTTCATCTTTCATTTCACGAATTTGCCATGCAATAGGTGCTGGAAATGCTGATCCACTAAGTGATGAAATTTAGATTAAAATCGACTTTAATAGGCTAAAAATAATCATCCAAGTTTACCTTGTCTCAATAATAACGCGGTCAGGGTTGTACTTGTCCTTAAGTTCCATCAAAGCCAATTTCATTTGTCCAACCAAGACATAGCATAAACAACCATTAAGCATCTCTTGCACTGCAAGGTTACTATCTTGCGCCAATTCGCTATCCACTTTTGGTTATCAGAAAGCTGCTTGAATATATTTATCTAACCATGTTTAAAGTTCTTTGGAAATTTGTTTAATGCCTTTACCTTTTATATCACCGAATTCATTCTTAAGCAAGCAAAGTTTATATCCTTTTGGTACACGTGGCAATAAAGAGAGAATTATTGTAGTTTTACCGGAACCTAGAAACCCTGTAAATACGGTTACAGGAACTGGAGACTGAGAACTAGTTTGCATTTGACACGTTTTTGATTTTGATGTTTTCCATTTAGCCGATATTTATAGCAATCCGATTCAGAAAGTTACACTACATCTCACTATCACGGAATCGCCTCTTTTGGTTTATAGTGTACATTGCAATTTTATTTTTTTTCTCAAAGCAATTCATTTCTTTCTGTATAGAAGAATTATTTCCCAATTATTACACCATTATCATTAAATATTTGTTGTAATTCCAAGAAACCTTTAGGTTTATTATCTCCTATACCTTATTAAATAAAAAAAAGTGGAAGAATTTTACTTTCATTATATTTTGGTTGCGTGAATACATTTTAGCATTTTAAAGAAACAGTATAATCATGAAAGCTCTAATTCTCGTTGGTGGTAGGTGTTTTTGGTCAAAATGTCTTATCTTTTAAACGTCCTTACTTTATTTTATGAAAACGATTTTATATAACTTAGGATTTGGTACTCGTCTGAGACCTCTTACTCTAACTCTTCCAAAACCATTGGTGGAGTTTTGTAATAAACCAATGATATTACATCAAATAGAGGGACTTGTAAAGGTTTGTAAAAATTTCGATCATTCATGATTCTTATGTATTTTAACAATTTTATTCTTTCCTTTATAGGTTGGGGTGACGGATATTGTTTTGGCAGTTAATTATCGGCCCGAGATTATGGTCTCGCTCCTCAAAAAATATGAAGATAAGTTTAACGTAAAAATCACTTTCTCGGTTGAAACCGAACCTTTAGGGACTGGTCGGTATATTTTAAATTGAACATTTTTAACTTTTTTTTTTTGAAATTTTCTAAATTATACTTGAATTGATTTTTTAGCTGGTCCTCTTGCATTGGCTCGTGAAATTCTCGGAAAAGATACCTTGCCCTTTTTTGTGTTAAATAGCGATATTATTTGTGAATTTCCATTTGAGCAATTAAGAGATTTTCATAATTCTCATGGAAATGAAGGTACTATAGTTGTATGTATTTAGTTTACCAGTTATACGAATGTTGAGGAGTGGGTTGAATGAGGATAATCGTCTCTGATTTAATATGTGAATATCCTCTATTAAATTTCCAATGAAACTTTATATTTCGTATATTAACCTTTCAATTCTCTCTCACCAATTATCAAGGTTACCAAAGTTGAAGAACCTTCAAAGTATGGTGTGATTGTGAACCATTCCGATTCAACATGCATTAAAAAATTTGTTGAGAAACCTGTAGAGTTTGTCAGCAATAAAATCAATGCTGGTATCTATATTTTTAATCCTGCTATTTTAGATCGCATTGAGGTTTGTATAAAAATGATGGTTTGACTTGGACCATTTTAGAAATTTTTTTTTTTTTTTTAAAAAAATTATTCTATATAATTTTTCTAGCTTAAACCGACTTCTATTGAAAAAGAAGTTTTCCCAAAGATGGCGGAAGGCTCTCAATTACATGCTTTTGAACTTGAAGGTTACTGGATGGATGTTGGTCAACCCAAAGATTTTCTGACTGGCACTTGTTTATACCTTTCAAATTTAGCCAAAAAACAACCGAATCTCTTGGCGAATCCTGCCTGTGATTACGTACATGGTGGTAATGTATTAGTAGATCCTACTTCCAAAATAGGTAAAGATTGTAGGATTGGACCAAATGTTACCATTGGTCCGAATGTTATAATTGGTGATGGGGTAAGGTTACAAAGATGCGTCATATTAGAAGGAGCGCGAGTAAAGGATTTCGCCTGGGTTAAAAATAGCATTGTTGGATGGCATTCAATACTTGGACGATGGGTATGTTTATTTCTCATTGATTATCTTGAAATTATAAATATAAAATACAAAGTAATTGTTTATATATATATTTTTAATAGACTCGTCTAGAGGGCGTTTCGGTTTTAGGTGATGATGTTACCGTTAACGACGAGATTTATGTTAATGGTGGTTGCATCTTACCTCACAAAAATATTTCCACTAACATTACGGAACCTCAAATAATAATGTAAAATGACCTACACAGTGTTTTGCTGCTTTAAAATAGAACCGTTTATTTCATTCTTATTTAATTTTTTATTACCCCCACTCTTTATTGTTTTGGCCTTTTGTCATTAATATACTGTACAATTTGTACTATGAAAATTTTATTATTCCATTAATTGTATAAAAGGGCCCAAAATTAGCTATTTATGTAACCTAATTTTCTTGTATATTTGATTTCTGATTTATGTGAAATATCTGAACTAATGAGATAGAGTTATTAATTGAATTTTATTAATGAAACTATTAATTAAAGTTATAAAATAAAATAAAAAATTTATATTAAAATTTACTGCGCCATACCATAATTTGAACATCATTTGGGGTTGGATGTTGATGAATCAAACAAATAAAATATTATCACACCCGAATTTAAAAAGAATCTTTTTTTTTTTTTCTTTTTCATCTTAACCAAACATTTTACCTTTATCACCCTTTTTACTTGAGATTAGGTTATTATTCTTTTCCTTACCTAAATTCTACAAATAATCTCTACCTTTCAATTTATAATGGCAACCAGGGTTTACATTGGTCGTCTTGCAAGAGATGCTCGTGAACGAGATGTCGAAAAACTCTTTCGTAATTACGGCACCATCAGAGAAATAAAATTGATGAACGGTTTTGGTTTTGTTGAGTTTCGAGACCACCGTGATGCTGATGATGTTGTTTACGCTTTTAATGGAAAGAGTTTTATGGGTGAAAAGTATGAGTCTTTTTTAAATATACGTTTTTGCTTATTTAATATAATAAGTATAACTTAGATTCTTTTTCATATTTACTATTTCTTTGCTTTTTTTTTTAAAAAAAATTATTTTTGAACAGGTTAATTGTTGAATACGCTCGAGGAGAACGTAGACGTCGTGATCGGGATGATCGTAGAGATAGAGACAGGGACGACCGCAGGGATAGGGACAGGGATAGGGATGATCGTCGCCGGGACGACCGCGACCGCGATCGTGGCAGGCACGTTGCAACACAGTCCTGGAAACTTTTATTCCTCTTCCCCATTCCTTGAATTTCTTTATGCATTGATTATTATCGTTTTTTGGGTTTTTTTTCCACCACATGCATCATCAGCTGAATGAGTTGTATTATCTTTTTCTTCAATCCTATAGTCGGTTCGCTCCTCCGCAAAGAAATCCTCAATATCGATTAATTGTGGAAAATTTATCATCAAGCTGTAGCTGGCAGGTATGCAACTATGTTCCAAAAATCCATACATTTGCCGCCTGCAGCTCTCGCTATTTGGCTGGCCTTCTGGTCCCCTACTCTTATGTCCCTGGTGTTCTACCATTTTGATTTGGCCTTTGGTTATACTCTTCTTTCTCGCGTGGTTACTTGTTCGCTTGTTGTGGCTTTTATTTTGATTCTTTATTCTTGAAAGTCTTATTATATCCCAAATGAATCCCAAAATATATTTTTAAAGGGGTGATTGCTACTGTGAGATAAAATGGTCAAAAGTAATTAAAAAGGGGACAAATCTGGGAACCGTCCAACGTTTATCTTCCATACTTCGGATAGAAATAGTCCAAATTAAATTAGAAATTGTTGTTTCTTATGCCTGGAAGGAAGAGAGTAATCTCAAAGTATCAATAAGGCCACTGTATAAGTTTCCTCCTTTATCTGGCTCTATTGGATCCTAGTATTTTGGTTACCTTTACTGCCTTCTTTGGATATGCCGACTCTTGTTCCTTCCATTGGCATATTTATTTTGGTTCTTCATATATGGAATTACAAGAGCCCTAGAGGATCTTTGAAGCACAACGTCCGTTTACCATAACTCAATTCAAACCCTACTTCCCCTCCTCCTCTATCTACCATTCTTTTACTAAAGGATCTGAAGGACCTAATGCGAAAAGCAGGTGAAGTGACTTTTGCCGATTGCCACAAAGACCGCGATGGGGAAGGGTACGAAGATTTATTTGATGCGATTTTTTTTTTTGTTTTATTTTATTTAAATTCCTCAAAGCCAATCATTTTATTTATTAACTACAATTCAGTGTGGTTGAATTTTCCTCGTACGAAGATATGAAGAATGCAATTAGAAAACTTGATGATACGGAACTAAAAGGCAAACGTATCATTCTTCGTGAAGCTCCGGTAAATATAATTGATTCTACCTTTTTTTATTATTATTATTATTATTATTACAAATTAATTTTTTTTAATATAAATTAATTGAAATTATTTGATTTATTTAAATGTTATATAGGATAATGATATTGACCGTGAACGTGATCGCGATCGTCGTCGTCGTTCTCGAACTCGTTCTCGATCTCCACGCCGTAACTCTCGTAGATCACTTTCCCGTTCTCCTCGTAGTAGAAATTCTCGTCGTTCTCGTACGAGATCTAAGTCGCCTGCTAATGGTAAGGACGCCGCCTCGCGCTCAGTTTCACCTCGCCGTCGTGATGATTCCCGCAGCCCAAAAAGAAGTCGTTCCCAAAGTGGTGAACGTGAACGTGTTGATGACAAGTAAGAGTGTTTGTTCTTTTGAGTTTATTATTATATATTCGGTTTTATTGTTAAGTTTTTTTGATATATTTTACTGATGATTTTGTATTAATGTTCAGGGAGATGAAAGAAGATTGAATTCAATTCAATAATAATCAAAAGTGATCTTACAAAAAAAATGGTCACTTAAAATCAGGAACTATAAAATAATGTTAAAGTAATTTTTTTTTTCGTAGTTTTTTCTTTATTTTGATTCATTATCATGTTTTTATTTCATTATTTTATGTCAGTCATTTTTATGTTTTTGTTAGATGATGCAAAAAGAAAAAAAGAAAGAAAGATTTTTTTTTTATTTCTGTATTTTTTTTTTCCCCCTCCAAATATTTTTATAAATAATACATTATTTTATTTACCCAAAATTTTCTAATATGATGTGCGAATTACCAATCATTTCAAATAAAAGAACAATGTTACGTAATGGTGTCACATGATTTTTGGATCTTCGTTCCCCATAGTGGCTTATTATGTGTCGAAGGACTCCAAAATATATGCTTTCAGTGACCGAGTACGTTTTACGAATTTTTAAATTGCCTTAAGGATTATTGTATGTATGTTCTTGTATTTTATGCAAATATTTTGAAGAAATTAGATATTTAGTAGAACTTTATACTTTAGATTGAGTATAAAAGCAGTCAAAGTTCTTTTTTTTTTAATTTGTGAGAGGAAAACAAGAAGCTTTACGAATATATACTAGCAAATGCTGACAACCACAAAGCCTTCATCTCTTGTAAGTCAGGAGAAATATACAACATCTACAACGTCAGCATCGTCTTCGAATTCACCAACTAATGGAGAAAGCAGTGTTAATAGTAATAATAACTTAACAGAATTCCTTACAACCACTACAACGACACCACCTTCTTATTCTTTATTATACTGTTGGACAATATTATGCACCTATATAGCAAGTATATTCAATAAATCAACTGCACGGCTGCGAAGGCTTTCCACCGGCGAGCATGCATATATCGTACAAGCATCAGTTTCGCCGGATACTAACAATAACATTAATAATAATAATACCAGCAATAATATTTCACCGCAACCACCACTTCGTCGTTCCCCGCGATTTAAATCAAAAAAACAATTGCAACAACAGATCGCATCATCATCGTCTATTGATAATATATCGTCACTTAAAGCTACCAATTCATCGAATCGCTTGAAAAATAGCACAAAACCAGTTCATCAATCCTCTCTGACATCAACACCATCATTTTCTTCTATGATGAAAACGAAGACACTTATATTGGATTTGGATGAAACCTTAATACATTCAACATCAAGGGGATCACGAGCCGACGCACATATGATTGAGGTTATGGTAGACAATCACGCTTGTTTATATTATGTGTATAAGAGACCACATGTGGATCACTTTTTGAAGAAGGTATAAAAAAATGTTAAATCTGAATAATTGATACCTTTAAATTTTTTTTTTTTTAAAAGTAATTTTTTTTTTTTTTTGTCTTTTTGTTTAGGTTAGTGAATGGTATAAGGTAGTTATTTTTACTGCTTCTATGCCCGAATATGCTGACCCTGTGATTGATTGGTTGGATCCAAATAAAAGTTTGATCGGTAATCGATATTTTCGACAGGTAAAAATATATTCCTTTTAAAATAAAAATTTCATTTGGATTTTTATGAAATAAGAATATCTTTATTTTCCCCTTTATAATTTTTATCGACATCAGTCTTGTACCAATCGAAATGGAGCTTACATCAAGGATTTAACAATTATTGAACCAGACCTTTCAAAAGTTTGTTTGGTCGATAATTCACCTATATCGTATGCTATGCACCAAGGTAATCATCAATACAATGAGTTGTAAATATATTAATATCCATTGATTTTTTTTTCTCTCTTTTTCTTGTTTTTTTCTTTCAAAAAAAAAAAATTTTTTTAAAATGAGTTAATTTTTACTTGTAAATTTGTATTAGAAAATGGAATAGCAATTGAAGGCTGGATTAGTGATCCTCATGATGAAGCTTTGTTAGATCTTTTACCATTCTTAGATGCATTAAGATTTACTGAGGACGTAAGGTCTATATTGTCCCTAGCGATTTATTGAGTATAAATAAAAATCAAATAAAAACAAATCACTATTTTGGGACATTATTTCTGTAAATTTTCGGCAACAAAAAAAGATTTTATTTTAATCACAAAGATTTTTAGGAAAAAGAAAAAGAAAAAGAATTTTATTAATGACTAAAGTGTTTTTTTAAATGAATTAATTAATCATCGTGATTATGTGTAATTTAACATCACCTTTTAATCTGAAAATATCTACAATTATTTGAATTTTTAAAAATATTTATTAAACTTTACGATTTTTGTAATATAGAAACAATGATGATTATCGTATTGAATAAATCTAGATCAAATAATAGTAACGAGATTAAAAATAATAATAATAATAATAATTTTTTTTCTTTATTAAATTAATTTTCCATTATATATATAAATATAAATTTATTTAATATTAAATATTTTTTTAAACAAGTGGCTTTAAGATTTTTTTTTTTTATTCCATGAAATTTTGAAAAAAGTTCAGGATAATAATAAGATGTAAGTGTTGTTAGTTAATTGTTATTGTGTTAAAAACAATTACCGGTGAGACTCATCAACGAGCAAAATTGTGATTGTTTAAATTAATAGTCAATTTTGTCAAAACTTGTACTCAACTTTTAAATAGTATACAAGGTGTTATATAGGGTAATTAAAATTGGAGAAACCGGAGTGATTGTATGAATTCACTTTTGCAGTAAATATCTACAAGCTTAGAAAATTTATAATAGTTTAAAGGTGAATTAATGCTTCTCAAACTTCAAAAAAAGAAACTTCAGGAGCAACTTGCCCGCTCACATAATAGATTCATTAAAGGGTATTAAAAAAAGGCAAGCAAGCAGGGCCAGCCCACTACGGTCTCCCATTCTTGCAAAAACGACCCATTATAAAAAAAAAAAAAAAAGATATAATTGAAAAAAATAAAAAGTAGTAATGAAAAACTATTAAATATAAATATAGATATATAATCTAATTTAATGGCCACTTAATAACTGCTTTACGTTTTTTGGAGTAGAATCATCATTTAAATGTTTGGTATTATAACGCAATGCAGACATTAGATTTGTGTATTCATTTATACCATGGGTTTGAATTGCCTTCACCGATGATTTTATCTTTTATTTTTTTTTTTTAAAAAAAATAAGGGATTAATAAATAAAATCGAGATTATAACAAATAAATATACAAATATAACTTACATTAATTGGTGATTGCTTATTAAATGCACCTTGCGGATCGATATGATCATATAAAATAATTGACACAACCATTACTCGTAAACAAAAATCGACCATTTCTGGACGTTGAACCCTCTTCTTTGTAACAGAATGATAGCATGCTGCCGCCAATCCTGATAGACATTCTGATACACTTTTTCCAAGGTTATTCTATAATGACAATCCAAATTAATGATAGTTATGAATGAAACCTTCTTCATTTATTTGTTGATGAAATTTATATATTACCTTTTCAACAAAACTTGCAGTTACATCTGTAACTTTCTTCAACATTGTCGTGGGATATGCATAAAATAAGGAAATTTGGGTTGCCAATTCGTCCTCGATCATTGCAGCTTTTAAATCCGTCTGATGATTATGGGTATTAATCTTAGTTCAAAAATTCGAATGAAATTCATTTCATAAATGTACAAATACTAATTTAAAATAAAATAATAAAACAAACTTCATTTGCAAGTTTTCCTCGACTCAGTGTTCGTCGATAATATGAAAAATCATTTTGAATTGATGGTGTTCTCATCTAAATTTCATATTAAATAGAAAGGTAAGAATACTTTTAAATCAATTATGTATTATGAAATGTGTGAATTCTACAACCTTCAAATAGTCAAATTCAAAGGCAAAGTCCAGTATATCTGCCAATAATTTTGTAAGTGCCTGAAATTTTTCGAGATTTTTTCGAACATTCCCTTCACAAAAAGCGCTTAACAATTCAGGAAGCGCACCCTCTAAATTAATAAATAAATAAGATAAAATAAATAAATAGAAATAATTTGAAAATTAACCATATTGTTGTAATAATATTAATAATATTAATTAATACCTAATGATACAGAATACTCGTAATATTGTTTTAGTTTTGCAACTGCAGGTTGTACGGCTTTCCAAGCTTCTTCTTCATTTTCGGGTGTAGGGTTTGATATTGCTTTCCTAATTAGTTCTCCGCACCCTTGATAGTTCCGTAAAGAATTTAAAAGAGTATCGGTCGGTTGGAGAAGGGAAGAAACACGTTTATGAAGATCAAATTCTTCTTGGGTTGGTGTGGCATCTGGAATAAACAAAGTTCATACTACGTAAGAAATCAAATCTATTAAATTCACACAATAAGGCAAGGTCTAAAATAATATATATATATATATTTTTTCAATTTTCTTCATCCCCAAAATATTCTAATATCAATAAATAATAGGCTTGTTCATTCTATCTATAGATAAATACGCACGGGCTTTATGGAGCAAATAATTATTGGTAAATATATGGATTTTCCGAATCCTCCATATAAACTAGTTTCGTTTATTTCTAAAAAACTAAGCACCAGTAACAAAGTTTCTTTTAGTCACCTTTGCATTTGATGCTTGTTGGATTTCACTTAGTACTGACCCATTACTTTTTTTTAAAAAATCCATTACTTACTTTCGAGGTCAAGGTTCAAATCTGGTACCAACGAGTCATTCCCCTTGCTGAAACTTGATAATATAGAACCCATATTTTTTTTTGTGATTTTTGTGTAAAAAGTTGTTTTTCTTTTTTTTTTAATTAAAAAAAAAAAAAAAAAAAAAAGTTGGAAAATGGGCTCAAATGGGGTGAAGAGTGAATTCTGCCTAAATCGTCGGTTATAGGGTTGAAAGCTTCCAAATAACACTACCAGGTGCTATAAATATATGCCTTTACGTTTAAGGAAAAAAAAATTTTTAGGTGTGGTCTTGGCCAGTCAGATGGTATTGAAGGCCTAAAACAAATTGAACGTCGTTAAAACGTACCACCCGAAAAATTTATTCCGGCAAAATGTTGAAAAATAAAAAGGTTTATAAGTTTTATAAAAGGTCGTGGAAGGAGTAAACCAGATTAAATTAGAAGGAGTGGGTGTGAATTACGGCAACCAAGAGGGAAAGGAAATTGTGTCTTCCTCAGGGAAGAAATTTTCTAACAGTTATGCTTTGGAGGAACACAAACGCTAAGCAAAATCCACTCCTTTTATTGTATGTTTTACATTGGGAACACAAAATTTAATATCATGCTTGTATAAAAAGTTTAACTGGTAATCATGAAGCGCAGTATAAATTCAACATTTTATTGGTCGTTAACAAATTAAGGTTAATATTTAGTTTATTCCTGAATTAGTTTACTTAAAAAGCTAAATTGAAAATTTTTTTATTAATACTTTATAAATATAAAAGTACAAGTAGTAATATTTATGTCCAATCTTTGCGATTTATATTCATACCTAATAATTTATTCGTGTGTGTATATATATATATACCTTATAAAAAAAACCACTTACCTGCGCAGTTATCTGTTATTCTTTTCTTCTTCACTTTCTTGATCATCATCACTTCCATATGCAGCCAATTCTGTCAACGCTTCGGTTGTAGGATCTTTGGTTTTGCTTGTGGAATTATAATTTGTTAAATTGAGTCCCTGTGAAAGGACTTTTAAACTTTCTAAAGTTTCACTAGACACAATTGAGTTGCTTTTTAGAGATGAGGTTGAATCCGAATCGTTCTTGACTGATTGTAAATTTTCTTTTATATTTGGTTGATGTCCATGTTGCTGGTCTTCATAAGTTTCTAATTCATCCGAATTTTGAAATTCTTCCGAAACTAAAGAATCCTGATTAATATTATCGTCTATTCGTGGACGTTTACTAATAAAATCAGTATTCGCTAATGTAAACTCGGCGGGAAGATTTTTTATTATTGCTTGTGCTGCCATAGCTTCTGCTTTTCTTTTAAATTCTGCTTTAGCTCGAGGATTAGGATCATCTGTAGCCCATCTATCAAAAATAGAATCAATTATTATTATATCATTAAATGATAATTTTTATATTATAATGAAATGACTTACCTTACATTGAGCACCTAATCGAATCATTCGATTAAAAACATGTTGTATTATTATCATATACTGTATAAACCACAATAAAATTTAATAATCCCTTTTCTCACCTCGTTTCTATCTAAACTCTGATTGCTCATTGCCTCTTTTGCAAATTCAGCATTAAGAGAACTATAATATGTCACAAAAGCTACTCCTTTATCTTTAAGTATTTTGACTAACAATAGTAATTTAATCTAAATTAGTGAATTGCTGAACTGAAAGTATAAAATAAATCATCAAATAATTTTCGTCAAATTACTTTTTTCAATTTCGCCCCATTCTTCAAAGTGCTTTCGTACAATTGCCTATTTTTTTAATGTAAAAAAGACGTTTAATCATGATAACAAAATCAAAAAAAAAGAAAAAAAAGTTTTAAGTATAAAATTATGATGAGGGGCAACATTTCCTTTCACCTCCATATCAGGGCATATTGTCACGTGACCAACATAAAGTGTCCTGTTCTCTCTATTAAAAGAACCAATGCCACCCATATCTTCTCGATATTCACTAAATTTATCTCGTCCAAAAGAATCGATAGTCGTATCAACCGGATCTGATTCGGTTGGTATTCTATGCCAATAATTACATTCATGCCTATTATGAAGAATTAAGATATTAAAAACTTGAAAAGTTGCCAAAATTCAACAAAGTAATATGAATATTTAGAGGTTTAGAGAATTTGAATTTACCCAAATGGACAACATCCCCTCGCAAAATAAAGGCAAAAATATGTATCAGGAATTTTGTCGCCTTTCGTCTCTCCAGCGTCAAGTTTAACGTTACAACGAGTTGTTGCTTTTTCTCTAATAAAACAAAGTTAGAGTTTTGAAACCTCATAAAAGGTCCATATATTTAATTACCCTTACCTTGTAAACTTTGACACTTTTTCACCTCCGGACCATTTATTATACCAAATATTATAAAAAGTTCCCGATTGGTCAGCAGGAGCAACTTTATTCGACCCTACTTTAAGAATGGATTCTTCTACCTGTACAAACGAGTAATTGAATGAATTTTGTATAAACGTATATTAAAGTATTAAAAAAAAAATTGCGTACCTGTTTCCTTGCTGGTTTCATATTTGTAAAGGTTAAATTTTGGAGGAAACACAAATTTGAGCATATATATATATTTTTTATGCATAAATTCCAAGCCAATGATTATCAAGTGTCAAATCAACAAACAAAAAAAAAAATATGTATTTGATTATCTATTGTTTTTATCTCAAAATTTTTTTGAAATGGCAAAAAACAGAAAAGCAACCAAAAAATTTCAAAAAAAGCAATTAAAACAAACAATAGAGAAGCGACGTAATGTACAGAAATTTAAAAAGAGTGTCGATAGACGACAATTCAAGAAAAAATTATCAGCAACCAAAAATAGCGAAAACAAAAAGGAATCTGAATTGTCCGAAAATCTACAAACTGAACAAAAACTTTCAGATAGCGATGATGAGTTAGGGTAAGATTTACATAATTTAATTAATTTAAACTTTTGACAAGAAACAATTGACAATTATTAATATTAGGTTAAAAGAAATTAATGATCTCGCGCTATCAGATTCAAGTAAAGAAACTTTAGAGGAGGAAGGCATCGAGAACTTTCAAATTAGTGATGGAAGCGAAGAAAGTGATGTAATTAATGATTCAAAGGATCAAAACAATAGACAACCAAAATCCCATAAACAAAAGCTCTCTTTACAAAAAGATGTTTTGGAACTTAAGAAACAACTTGAAGAATTGAAAGAAAAAGATCCAAAATTTCATAAATATTTGATCGAAAATGATCAAGAGTTAATAGAATTCGATGTATCAGATTTCGATTCAGACTCAGGAAGTGAAAAGGACTATAGCAATGAAGAAAGCATTGAGGAAAATAATGCTGATATTAAGGAAGCTGAAAGTAATAATATGGAACTCGATAGCGAAAATGAGGTAGATTAATAATGTCAACTTTGGCCTGAACTTAATATAATTTTGATTACTTATATGTTCTTGAATCATCAGGATGTTGATGATGAGGAGGAGGAGGAAAAAGCAGCTTTGAGAGAAGCTGGATTAGACGATGATTATAATGAGAGAGTTCCGGAATTAACGTCCGAAATGATCGATAAATGGATACTTGCTATGACTGAGGTATGAAGTCTACATATTTTGTATGATTAATATATATTCTCAATTCTCATAAATTTATTATTTCAGAGCAATTCTTTGAGCGCTACGCATGCATTAGTTTTGGCTTTTCGTGCAGCGGCACACATTAATGAAGATGAGGCCGTTCAATCTTTTGCATATAGAGTATCTGATCCATTAGGTATTTGGTATATTTTTATCTTAAACGCGTCAAATTATTAAATTATAAAGAAATATATTAAAATAATATGTTTTTATTTATTTATTTTAGTATTTAATAATCTCATGGTAGTTGGCTTAAAGCATATTCCCGACGTTTTTGATCATCATTTGCGTGCAAAAGATTCCGGGAATCCGTAAGTTTAGTCCTTTAAATCCCCCTTTTTTCACAATTTCATATTCTAAACAATTAATGTTTATTACAATAGAAAATCGATTTGTGCGCATCGAAAATGGAAATCGATGCAAACTTTAGTGAAATCTTTCTTAAATAGTGTTATTTTTATACTTAAACAATTAACAGAAAAGGATACATTATTTTTTATTATCAAAGAATCAGAAAAGTTAATCCCTTATTATTCGTGTTTTCCAAAATTGGCGGGTCAATACTTAAAGGTCTTATTACAACATTGGGGAACTTCAGAAGACAAAGTCCGAGTTGTAGCTTTTATTAATATTCGAAAGCTCGCATTAACCGCACCGTCCCCATTTATCGATCTATGTCTAAAGGTAATATAGATAAATGGAATTACGCGTAATCCTTGTTACTTTATTAAATTTTTTATTATATTAGGGCATTTATTCGACATTTGTCCAATATTGTAAAGAAACTTCTGTATTTACAATAACTTCCATTAATCTCATGAGTAATTGCGCGGTTGAAATTTTTGGGCTCGATTTTAAAAGGTCCTATCAATCTGCCTTTGGGTATATAAGACAATTGGCTATTCATCTTAGAAATTCCATGAATATGAAAAGTGAGGTAAACATTAGGAAAGAATTTATTTATAATATTTTCAAATTTTACAAATTATTCTTACGAATTTCTTTAAATGAATTTAGGAAACTTTTAGTGCGGTGTATAACTGGCAATATATACATTGTATAGAACTTTGGTCCAAAGTATTGGCAACATATTGCGACGAACAAAGTGTTGCATCAACTGGACAAAGTTCTTTACAAGAATTAATATATCCATTTGTCCAAGTCTGCATTGGAGTAATAAAATTAAATCCATCTGCGCAGTATTTCCCACTTCAATTTCATTGTATGCGCGCATTAATACATTTAATGCAAAAGACCGGAACATTTATTCCGCTTGCACCTTACCTTTTTGAAATCTTGCATTCTGCTGAAGTTTGTAGAAATGCAAAGCCTTCTACATCGAAACCTTTAGATTTTACAATATATTTGAAAGCACCAAAAAGCTACCTACGTACAACCGTGTATCAGGTATTTTTTTTTATCTATGTTATTAAAGAATTCGCATGGGTAAAATAATAACTTTTAAACGTTATTTTATTGATAGGATGGAGTTTGTGAAGAGCTTACGGAGCTTCTATTAGAATATTACGCGAGTTTTTGTTTATCAATAGCGTTCCCAGAATTAATAATACCGGCTGTCTTTCAAGTATGTTTGTAATTAAACGTTTTAATATTTTGTCGCATTATTAGAAGCGTAATATCAATTGAATTTATGTAGATTAAACGGTTTATTAAAGCTTCAAAAAATTTCAAAATCAATAAAAAGTTTCAACAATTAGTCCTAAAGGTATGTTGAAGCAAAATGGTTTAAATAATTTTTTTTTTTTTACTAATTTTTATTTAAATAGTTGGAAGAAAATGGAAAATTTATTGAACAACATCGAAAAAATGTTGAATTTGGGCCTGGGGATATCGAGAAAGCGGTACGCATTTATTTAAATTTCAAAAATTTCAAAGGTTTTTCTTAGTATTTATTTATTTTATTTGTTAAAAATAAATAGAAATCATTTTTAAGAGATGTTAGCAAGGATTCGACACCTCTGGGATCATATGCGAATACACTTAGGAAATTAAAAGAACAACGAAGAAAATTAATGGAAACCAATTAAGATTCACATGTTTCTATCATAATTGTCTGCTTTTCATTTAATAACTTTTTAATGTAATATTATTGTATAAAGTTGACCAGAAATTCCTCATTACTTATCATATTTATATGGGAGCGTTGCCGGTAAAATCTCATTATAAATCATACAGCTTATTGGCAACATTTCCAATGATAATTTTTATAAAATTATTAATGAAAAAGTGAATAATGTTTAATTCATATAGAACCCGAGTTATGAATTGCTAGTTGTTTAATTTAAATGGCAAGAACTTTAAACTTAATTAAATTTTAAAAAATCATTGATTATAAATCTCGTAACTCGATTTTAATAGTATATGGAAAATATTACCATAAATAGTGTTCGATAATGAAGATCTTTGAATCCCACAATTTCAACATTTCAACATTTCAATATAAATAAGTACAGAAACCATTTGCAGATATATTATCTGTATAGATCATTAATTTATCCGGATAATGCAAATATCCGAATAAAATAATTTAATTGCAGATTATTTATAATTATCTGCAGATAAATTAACAGATTATCTATAAATAGTAACAGATATAAAGATTTTCATTATGCCAAAAATTGCATTAAAATGTCTTTTTCAGAAGAATTATTACTTTCACCTTTAAGTATTAATAATGAAGAAGATTTAAATCCACCTATATCTCAAAATCATAATAAACAGATAAGAAAAAAAATTCAGATAGAGTTTTAAAAAAAATTAAAACTCTTGAAAAAACTGATAAATATAAAAGCTAGGTGTAGACTTGGTTTAATCCAGTATTATTAGATAATGAAAAAACTGGTGCAGAATGTTTAGTAAAAATAACAGATGAAAAGATTTGTGGTTGACTTTATTTAAATGGTAATTCAACAGGTAATATTATTGTTCATCTTTCTGGAAATCATCAAATAACAGAAGAATTAAAAATAGAAGAAAAATCAGTAAATATTATTTATAATAAAATTTATAAATTTATTAATTAAATATTAATTATACTGTATATTTTTTAATAGATTCAAACTACAATTACAAAAATGATTGCTCGTCCATATAAAAATTCAAAACAACAAGAATTATAACAATTATTAGTTAACTGGATTATTATAGATTTAATATCATTTAATGTTATTCAAAGTGAATTATTTAGAAAATTTATATATGAATAGATCCTTCCTTTATAATACCCGATATAAAGTTAGTTAAAAAAATTATCCATCAAGCATATAATTATACACTGTCTATAATTATTAAATATATTGAAAATAATACTATTTCAGTTAGTCTTACAACAGACCTTTAGACAGCAAGAAATCATCAAAGATATCTTGATATAACATGTTTTTTTTTGAATGCAAAATTTAATTTATATAAAATTTTACTTACTGTTACTTATGTTGCTATCCACATATTGCAAAACATATTAGTGATACATTACTTGAAATTTTTGATAAATGAATGTTACGTGAAAAAATTTATATGATAACAACTGACAATAGATCTAATATGCGAAAAGCAATAGAAGATATGAATTCAATTTCTCCAAATATAATGTAGCAACCTTATACTGCTCATACCTTACAATTAGTAGTTAGAAAGGGTTTTATTTGTGTTAAACTTTTTATATTAAAAGTAAAACATCTTATTGATTTTTTTATAAGACTAAAACAATCTGAACATTTAGAAAATATACAAATTACAATTCAAACATAAAATAATATGATAAGTATTCATTTTACTTTTAAAAATATAAATTTATTTATATATGGGTTGATTGCTAGGAAAATCAGGTTCCGGAAATTTTTTAGCAAAATTGAGATTTTTATTGCATTTTAGTTTTTGATGTTATTAGATTAAAATGTATTAAGCTCTTAATTTTAGTCAAAAATTTCTCGGAACCTGATTTTCCTAGAAACACTCCCATATATCTAAATAACGCATGCGTCTTATTACACGAACTATTACATGCGTAATAAATCCCTTTATTACTAATATATTATTATCTACTAAAAAAATATTATTAAATCAAAAAAAAATCAATTTTCAAAAAATATATCAAACATACTTTGTTTTTTTTGAATTAAACTTTTAACTTTACAATATGAGATTCAAATAGTTACAATATTACTATGATTTCATTATATCAAAGAATTGGTTGTGATAAAAAAAAATAAAAGATGCTTTTTAAGAAACCTTAAGTACATTTTTCATAGCATATAAGACATAATAAAAATCTATGGTAACAGGATCGGATATTGATGTAGGTATTTGAAAAGTTGGTGGCATCCCATGAAATAAGCATTTTACTTTAAGATCAATAGTATGTTGTTGAGGCTGAATAAGAAATTAGCCTTTATCATCAATGGTTTCGAATACAAATTCCTTTAAATATATGTATATTAAAATCATTTTCTATAAATCCACTTTATATTAATTAAGTAATAATATATCATACCGAAACAGGTATTAATTCCCTACTCTGCGTTCTTTCATCTGTGCAAAAATGCCATACCTGTCAAAAAATAAAAATCGTAAAAAATGATGGTAAAGAAACTAATCCAAAAAAATTATATCTTTAATTATTACTTACTTTCAATTTTGAAATAATTGTATCAGATCGTATTAATTTTACTGCAATTGCATCATGAGCTCTACTTGGACAGAGCCAATAATCTTTTATTACGTTTAATAAATATGCTTCAGATTCCAAGGAAGCAACTTCGATTACAAGATTGGGCTACGGTAAAATCTAAAAATGTAATCACCGATATTAGAAATTTGATTGATTATGATAATAGAAAATATTTAAAGCTTTACATACAGAAT